AAAACCCCCCTAGTACTAAAAGACAAGTTGTCTTTATTTTAGATAGTAATAACTTTTTGTAAGCTTTTTTTGCAAAGAGTTACCAAATTACTTTATTTGATACTTCAACACTACCCTTGTAAGCTGTAGGCAGTGCTGTACATCAATCGAATTGTACCAGTGTTTTTATATATTCAGAAATCGATGAACAGAAGACTGGTACAGTACTAAGAAAAGCTGAGTACTGTGCGGGTGTTTGAGGCTATGTGTGTCTGTTTTCATTTGTTACTGAGACTAAAGGCCTTTGAAAACACATTGATTCTATCGAAGTATCCATGACTCAAATTATTTCCTTGTCACTGGCCAAACAATTTACAAAGTTGTTTCTATTTTTTTAAGATAAAAAGCGTTGTTAAACTGACCATGGTGAGTATTCAGTGCTGTGAATACCTTAGAGACGTAATACATGTTACAGAAACGCTAGCCACTGGTTGACGCTTGAAAAGCGTGCAAGCTTTACTTGTATGTTTTCAAGTGAATATTGGAAAATTCCCCTTCCTGCCTCCTGATTTCCACATCCTTTCATTTTAAAATATGTAACCGGCAAGATAATGTGTTACACAGCTGGTTTACTGAGAAGTAATTTTTGGGGGGGGTTGACATGCAGGCATTTTGGTGTTTGTACTGAAATAGTTTTCTCTGGGTCTGGTACACCTCTTAGATCTGACCTTTTCTGCCTCCCAAATTCTCTTTCCAATGCTAGACCACTGTCCCAAACCACGTTTTTCTGAACTCCTGTTTGATACGCTGTATTTTGAGGCGAAAGTAACACTTCCTTCTCTGGGAATATGGTAATGCCTTTGTACATTGTATTTCTTTCCTGTGCATAAGTGTAGTGCATATGTATAAATAATTTTGACAGTTTCAGGGCCTTTCTGTTTACCAAATCCCCATGTTACTGCAGCATGGGTATTTTAAAACAGTTTTTTTGGAAATGAGTAGCTCCTCAGAGTTCACATTCAGAAGCGTGTCTGGTAAGCAACTCAGAAGTGATCTCATTTACTTCACTGTGTTATTTTTATAAGACTATTGGCAAGATGTTTTATAGAGGTTGTCTTATGTTCTCTTTTCTGAAAGAAGTGTTGCTGTAAGCCTCATGCTATATGAATTCTTACCCGAAATGAATGGAGGAGGAGTATAAAGAAAGGTGATTACTAATAAATATTCTACTTGTATGTTTTGAAGTATTTGCACAGGCTTTTCCTTTCAGAAAGTGTTGTCCCTGTTGTCACATTTTGTGTGTTGTATATAGTATGAATTTGGAGAGTTTGGGCTCGCTCTCCCTGCCTTTCCCCAAGTTAATGTATTCAATTACGTTGAACACTGGTTCATGATTAATTTGAAGAATATAAAAGACAGCTTAGTAAGCATTTTCAGAATTGCCATTGTGTACAAAAGAGGAAAGGAAATCTTGTCCTCCATTTTACTTTCTTTTAGTATAACAACCTGATAGCAAATACAAGAGTTGGCAATAAGAGGACAAAACTCTAATTAACTGTACTGATGAATAAATGGCACATGAACAACTTAAAGTAGTGGAAAACTGTGCATGGTCGTCTGATTTTAACATCTCTAGCTCTACCAGAAGCAATATCTTCAAAATTAAACATCTTCAGGGGTTACCAAGAGAGTGAGAAAATCAACAGTAAAATAACCTTTTAATTTGGTTCTTTTCTTATTCTTCCTTCCCTGGTTCATTTTTGCTGCCATTTTTCACACTTAACGTATTGCTGTTTCCACACTCTGTCCACTATGTTATTCTTTGGTTTTCATGTTGGACAGACACACAATGTCAGTGAATCCCCCCTTCAGAACTCAGCTTAATTCTTCATAGATGTTGCCCCTCGTTTGCTTTCATTGCAAGGGTGGCTCTCTACACCTCTCACCCCTTCTCTTCAGTGTCACTACTGGGATGGCTGAACCACACCCAGTACTCAGGGTTTGGCCCTGTTTGTTGTTGCTCAGCACTGTTTCTGATCAAATATTTGCTCTGTTGCTTCAGATTGGCTCTTTGGATTCTATCAAGTGTTACACTTTGCATCCCAGCTGTTTTGTTGCTGCTTAAAATCTTGCATGTTACTTCCTGTATGGTTTCTGCTGCTGATTTCTGACCTTCGAATCTTTAAGGCAGGTTGTAAAACCATGCCCATGTTGGTCTCTGCTGAAGTTCTCTGTGCTTTTATCATCCTTGCTATTAAACTGAGTGGCCTCCTAGGTCTTCAGTTCGGTATTGTAAACAAAATCACTGTTGAGGCTCCACATGCTTCCTTCTAGTTTTGTAGGAGTTTTCAATGTTTTCTTTTAAATATAGATGAAATACTCTGTAGAGTTTATGACCATAGAAATTGACTGATGTGCAATACAGTATTAAATATTTACCAGAGTAAATTCTATTTATTTCCTCTGTTAACTTCCTTAATAAAAATTTATGGCATGTTTAGACTTTTTTCTTGTGAATTTAAGAATGGGCTTTTTTTGTTTATTATTTGGCACCTTCTTAACCTACCCCCATTTCTTCCTCTGGCTAGACCTCTGCTTGAAGAGGGAAGCTTGCAAAATAACAGGAGGTAAAGCGCAAGTCTGCTAATGCGCTCTTTCTCCAGTAACAGAAGTCCTTTTGTGAATCCAGTCCTTGTGCCTTAGTAGTTGAATCTGGTACTTACTGTATACACGTGCACATATATACATGTATATAGTGCATTGTATATGTACACTTAACATGAAGGGACATTCTGAGGAAGAGCTGAGGTGGTGTCAGGAGAAACGGTGAACAAAATGTGTAGTGTCCTGGCTACATAAATTGGAGTTATCTGCTCTCATCTTCCCCATACCTACACTCCTGGCATGCATTTTTCTTGTTTGCTTTTTGCTGGCTCAGGTATTTTTTTGGCTCTTCTGTGGAGTCATTTTATTCTTCGAAACAGCAGAAAACAAACAGCAAAGAAATTACAGCTTTCTGTCATTTTACTGAGGCGAACTGATTCACTGGAAGGTGTGATAATACCTGATGTGACTGTGAGAGAAGCGATAAGGCCATTCAGGTGAGAGTAGGAAGATGAGAAGAAGGAAGAATGGTGGGGAAAAGGATCAAACACCAAGAGAGGAGAATGGGGAGAGTGAGACCTTCCTCTTTCAGAGGTAGACTTAGCTACCAGTGGAACTGGAGTCTAGGGAGTGTTTTCATTTTGAATGCACAAATGCAAGAACTGCTACTTGATTGGGCTATTTCAAATAGCCGTAATGGCACACTGAAGATGTTTCATTTATAAGCCCAAACATCCATCAAGAACCTTCAAGCATCAAGCAAACATGATTTTCTGTAGTGAATTTGAGATACTTGGGATTTTTCTTTCTACATGAGTTAACAATGGGTAAAATGAGAAGTGTATCATGATGATTTTTCTTAAAGTGTGCTTAAAAAAAGGATAGTGTAAATTCTGGCAGGAAATAAAGGATTTTCTACATGTAATTCATAAAGTAATACCCAGTGATAATCAATGTTTTGTGGAAATTATACAGTATTGTGAGAATATTGAAAGTATAAGTATGAAAGGAAGACAGGGAAAACAGAAATGTCTGAAGCTGCAACTGTGTTGCCTTTTGTAGAAAGATACCTAAACCTTTCCACGATGTTTGCTTGAGGTGACTTCAATTGAATTAGATCCATTATTTTTCTAATTGTGGATAAAATTATGCTTCCCTCCACCCCCCTTAAACCTGAGGGAGAACAGACACAGACATTAGTCACAAACATCTGAAGCATCATCAGTTGTACAGAAGCCGTGTTCATTTGATGTCAGGTCTTGATTAAAGTTATTGCAGAAAGCCATAGAACTTCAGACCATTTTAAAGTCATCTTTGTAGGGTTCTATAAAGCAATTGCTCTTGGATGGTAAATAGCATGCCTCGCTATGAGACTGTTGTTCTCTTACTGCTGAAGAGTTAATCTCAATTTCTTCCTTTTTGCTTATATAGTAACTTGATTCATTATAAAATAATTTATGGTCTTAATACTGTGTACATTACTATTAATAGGCCAAAAGTTATTAGCTAGAGTGTATGGATTTAAATCATTGGGGGTTTTTTGTAAACATGTCAGTCATACCAAAGTTACTGAAATGATACTGTTCTAATGGGCATGTGTATCAAGACTTTTGCCTGACCTTCCTCCTTACTTCTAAAACAAATAACTTTTAAAACAAATACCTTTCTTTTCTTTGCTATTTGTATTCTTGGGAGAAAAAAACCCAAACTTCAAAACTTACAATGTATCATTGAGTTCACAAACATTGCATTTCTTTTTCTGTATACAAATACAGAGAGAAAGAGAGAAGAAGAGAGAATGTGCATTTGGGAAGCGGGCTCAGTTCCAAAAGCAATTTCTGTTTCATGGCTCTGATCAAGCAATCAACATCTCATTGTTATTGGCTTCTCTCCTTTCGAAACATGAATATTTTCTAAGCAAAATACTGTAAGGTAATAGGCTAGTATAAGTAACTTAACCTGTTCACTGGCATGGCTCTGGATATATTTTTCTCTTTTAACTGGGAGAATTACTGACAATTTAACCAACAAATTGCAGAGCAGTTAAGGTTTGGTCTAAGGTCACTAAACGAAAATGTATTATAATCCCATGTTTAATCTATAAAATGTGATGTTAGACTAAAGACTAAAGATTTAGGGGTTTTAATTGATAAGCATAAGGGAAAACGCCTGACAAAGCCATTCTTACACTAATGCAGAAGATATTATCAAAACATGCTGTAAATACAAAGTAATAAATTAATCTTACCAGCCTTTCTGAGGTTAGATTTCTTTTGTAGCCTGTTTTGAGTATATTGTGATTAGACCTCAATCCCTTTTTTTTTTCCCTAACATCTTTCAAATATAGACTGCTTCTTATTGTACGGTTTGATTTTTTTTTTTTTTTTCTCCCTTTTTTTTTTTGTGTGTGTGTGTATGTTTAAAAACACAAAGATAAGTATTAGTCTCAGGTGTAAGGTTTGTCTGGACCACTAATGCCAAAACATTGTGGTGTCTGATGCCAAACGTGTTTTTTAAAGCTAAGAGGCTTCTTGATGGTGATAATGACAAAGTCTGTGCCAAACGTTTCATATGCTGACCTACATGCTTATATTCAGGTCTTCTGATCATGCATTGAAAGTTTGTCCTTATTGCCCCATAATTTTCATCCTGCACTTTGCATGTATCATACCTGCAGTTATTGATCTCTCTGCTTAGGAGTGAGCACCTTTGCGTGGGTACAGTTAAAATATTTTAATTATTCTAAACAGAAATGCTGCCTGAAGTTTTCAAAGGAGCATAAAAGTTGATCTTGCATCACAATAATTAATTAGGTTCTGACATAAATTGTTGGAGTTTAGGGTGCAAATATGTGGACAGATGGATCAAATTAGCCCTAAGGGCATCAATTTGGATAGTAGATTGTACTTTTGAATCCTGGTTCTCAGTCTGTAACTAGTATAGTGCTACTTACAGTCAAAGAAGTTTTGTTTTTTTCTTGAAGATTTAAAGCAGCAAACATTTTAATTAGTCTTTAAAAACTAGGAAGATGCAATTCAAAGGGCTTGCCTCAAGTATATTCTGATGGAGGCAGTCATATAAATACCTGTACATAACAAGCAGTGGCGTATCTATGGGCTGTCTTTGTCTTGTCTGAAATTACTGAAAACGTGTCAGCTCTGAGTGCATGTTCATGTACCTTAAAATTTCTTGTCTTGAGAAGGGAAGGGATCTCAAAGTCGTTTACAGACACTGTGGGACATTGTTTTCTAAGTTAACCTGCCCTTTTGCTCTGGCATTCAATCAGCATGGGCGGAACTCCTAACATGAAGGCACATCATAGTGAAAAGCAGGTAAAAGTTGTGTGCTTCCTAGGTTAGGCAGGAAAAGTATGTGCCAGAATAGCCACCACCCTCTTCTCCCCAATGTTACAAACTGTTAACAAATACAGGAAATGTACTTTGCTAAAAGCAATGCAGTGTGGAGATCTACCATATTGTTCATGGTATATTTTGCTTCATTACTTGTCTCTCAAAGCATTTAACTCAATTATTGGGTGATTTAGATTTTAGTTTGAAGTGTTTGTGGTTTTTTTTAGTATACTTCTGTGTTGTGCTTGTGTTCACTTGTGCAGTGGATTAGTGTTAAATGCTTTATGAAGCAAACAATTCTGTATTTTAACAGAATTTTTTCTTGTATGATCTTACTGCTTTTTCCATGATACAGTAGAACTTCAGTCACAAGTTTCAAACCCTTGCAGATGCTTATGAAAATGTAATAGGTAGTTAATAACAACCTGTCAGAAAGTTCTTAAGGACTTTTAAAGAAGTTGCATTCTTTTTCATCAAGGTTTTTTGTTGTTGTTGTTCTTGTAACACATGAAAAGTAGTAAACTTCATATGGAAAGAAATGCTAATTCCTGCAATTTCATAAAGATTTAAACGATTGTGCTTTGAAGTTCTACTACATAGTATATATTTCATCTGTACTGGGAAATCAGTGTTTCAAGCTGACAAGTTCTTACTCTTTTTTGGCAGTTTTGCAGGGGACATTTCAGGTTTTTGGCAACTCTGGGTTTTTAAATCTTGTTATGAGGACACATCTGTGACTTTGCAATACAGTCCTTGAGAGAAAGCTCCATTCATGGGAAATATGCACTTAGGACTTAAAGCTGGGATTCCAGTGGTCTGGTCTTGGCTCTCTAAAATATTTGGCATGTGGTATTACTGAATGGTATGTATTTTGGCTTTCCAAAGGTGCTGAAGGTATCCAGCTTCCATTGAGTACAGAGGTTTTCTGAAAATTTGGCCTACTGACTTTCTGTACTTACTTTATTAGTATATGAAGCTGGTGTAGTATTCATTAGATATTGAGGCCTGCCTATATGAAATATATAAATAAATATAGACTTTCATGCAGTTGTTTCCATGTTAGATGTATACACAAGATTAATTTTCTTTAATATATGCTAACTGGTCACTCTATGGTCAAGCTCTGCTGTAACGTGGACTTTTTACAACAGTCATTATTTCTTGTGTGACTGGTGATTAGTTCTATTTAATCAGCTTGTGTCTTAATTTGACATAACTTTCAACCTGTTTATACAGGTTTTGTTATTTGGAAATGCTAGTTCTTTTTAAATGAGCTTATATGTAAATATTTTAGAAGGTGAAATTGTACTAGTAAAAGGTGTCTGTCTGTGATGGAGACTAAAGTCTCTGAAATATGCTGATAATTCTTTATTATATAAAACAGAGCAGAGATGACCTCTGTCATGTAATCTGAAGAATGGAATAAATGAGTAGGTCTTTAGGTAAAGCGATAAGACTTCTACAGTTCTACAACAAGATCTCTTGCATCAAACACTGGTTTCAGGTATTCTGTAACTAAATTTAAAGAAAGGATCTGTGTAAAACTGCTGGCTTTTTTGGAATTTGTACAAAGTTGCAGTTTGAGCCCATGTTAGGTAAATAGGCAACTTGCACATAAAATCACATCTTAAGATAATACAACTATATAACATAACAACAATGATTTCACACAAACCATGTTTTTGATAAAATAATTATATTTTGCAAATAAACTTCGAATAGTGAAATGACTATCCTACGTTATGTGTTGAGGTTGCAGAGTTCAGTTGTTCAGCTCAGCAAAAAGGCAGACCAAGTTCGTCACCAGTTTAAAGACAAACGGTGTTAATATTAAAAAAAAAAATCTGCAATTGCTTTTAAGTGCAGTAGAATAACAAAGCTGAATTAACTGATAAAGAGATAAGAAAAAGATAAAGCTGTAAAACCATTCAAAACTATTGTTTGAGAAGAAAATTCACATCTGCTAAAATTGCTAATATGAATGATGTCTTCTCTCTGAGGGTCTTGAATCACTTTGCAAAAGCCATTCAGGCAGCAGAAGTGGAATCAGCATAGACAGAGAAACTTGAGTTGCAGAAGCCACACCAAAAAACAGCTGGAGTCAAGAACAGAACACTGATCCCCCAGTCGTCTTCTGGCCATACAGAGGGCCTTGCTGTGCTCTTTCCTCTCTGAAAGTAGCTTAAAATTTTACATTTCTTTCACTGAGGATTACAAGATTTACTCCGTATTTATTTCCCTATTTTAAGGTGTCAAGAGGTAGCTAAAACAAAATGATTTGTTTTTTTTTTTTCCAAAGTCTATACTTTGAAGCCTAATGTAATTGAAAATTAAAGCCATTGTACTAGCGAACCAACTTCAGATTTGTTTGTTTCCCTTTTTGGAGTGGTCACTCCTTATACTTTTCCTTGCTTTCTCTTGAACTATCTACTGATCATGAAAATATTTATTTTTTCAATCAAGTAACAGGGAATATTGTTACAGTAATCAGTGGTGGGTTTCCCAGATGAAAATATCTATATCTCTCTCATAGAAAGGTGATGATGATATGTGGGGGAAAAAATACGATATCATGTATTTTAACAACTTTATTGAGTAATATACTAAGGTGTTACTACATCCAAGTTGGAATACTGTCAAATTCTATGTTTATATGCAGGAACTTGACAAGAGGAGTTGGTAGATTTAGAGAGTTACTGAGAGCTGTAGAAACAAGAACTACACAAAATCTGCGAATGGTAAGTTATATTAAACCATATTCCTATTGCTGCATCTGAATTGTAGTAGGCAGGTAAAGGGTAAATATAGTGGATGAGTTAGAGACAATCAGTTACACAGCATATTGATCAGGATCTGTTATCCACCGCTTTATAAGGTTACATGTCCTAGCTTATGTGAATGATTAAAATAAAAAGGAATGCTTGACACCCAGTCTCTCCTGTTTCTCTTTCCTATTTGTGGTTATGGTCAAAGCCTGATTGGTCTCTGACCATACTTTCAACCTTAATCATAACTGCCCTATTTATGATTTACCACAGTTTCACAAGGGTACTGTTTCCTGGTTTTGTAAGGTAATGGTAGTAAGGACAAAGGACAGTGTCTTCATGTGTGTTCTTTTTAGTTGGAAGTTACCATTTCTTTATTTTTAAAGAAACGATAAAAGCAAAATCATGAATATTTGTTATTTATATTGTCAGAAAAGAAGCCTTTACCAAAAGAGTCATTTATCTGTTTTTGCATCTTTTATATAATAAAGGGCCAAGGCTTTTATCTTTTGCTGTAATGTAATGATTTTCAAAATGTCCTAGATTAGTTTCCTAATATTAGGTCTTTAAAACTTCCAGAGTGGTTGGCTTCTTACTTCATTTAATAACTGATTCCTAGTAAGGATATTAAATTATTAAATAATGTACTTTCAGTGAAGAGGGATATTGTTGCAAACCTTAACAGAATAAAAGATGAAGGGCTTCTTATGCTATAGGAATTAAGGTGGAAGATGCAGATCATATGGTGCTGTCTGTAGTTTAAACATTACACATCTGTTGCTAGGAAATACTGCCAATTCTGATGCAAATGTAGATCTTGCTTACTTTCTCCTGCTCTAATACTTATCTCCTAGTTTTCATCATCAAGATATGTAGTCATGCAGCTTGTATGCATACATATTAAACATTAAAGACGAGATTAACCTGATGGTTATGGATTATAGGATGACTTCAAAGCTTTAAATTAATTTTATTTACTTAAATAATATTTATTTAAGCATTTCTACACTTGCATATATTGTGTCAAGAATAGTTGGTCAGAAGAAACTTTTTCATGCTGATCTGATACAACCTCATTTCGCTCTTGCTGAGCCTTACCAACAGTGGCAAAAAACAGCATCTTCAAGTACAAGTTGTTAGAAGCCCCAGTCAGTTGGGGTTTGGACTATAACTTGTCTGTGGTGGGTTGACCTTGGCTGGCTGATAGATGCCCACCCAGCTGCTCTCTCACTCCCCTTCCTTAACATGACCAGGAGAAAATAAGATAGAAAAGCTTCTGGGTTGAGGGACTTTGCTTACTGGTTAATGTCATGGGCAAAACAGACTTGTCTTGGGAGAAATTAACTTAATTTATTGTCAATTAGAAGAGAGTGGGATGGTGAGAAACAAAGACTAAAACTAAAACACCTTCACCCCACCCTCTTTCTCAGGTTCAACTTCAGTCCTTCATTCTTGACTCTTCTACCTTGTCTCCCTATACTCCCACTCCCCAGTGGTGCATGGCAGGTGGAGGGTTGTGGTGAGTCCATAATAGTCCCTCTGTTCTCCTGCTCCAGCACAGGGTCCCTCCCATGAGCTGCATTTCCTTCAGGGAATATCAACCTGCTCCACCATCATCCTTTCATTAGGCTACAGTGTGGACATCTGCTCCACTGTGGTCTTCTCTGCAGACTACAGGGAAATATCTGTTCCACTGTGGTCTCTCCCACGGAAGCATCTGCTGTAGGCCTGGAGAGGCAGTAGTGGTTACTGAGCACAAAAATATCTAAAAATATACCTGGATGTGCTCCACTCTTAGAAGCAACAGTTGGTGTTGTTGACACTTTCAGAAGTATCTGGATCTAACTGATAACACTGAAAAATTGTTTGTTATTGCTATTTTTTTTCTTCACGTTGAAAGAATTGAACTGACTACTTGTACCTTTCAAACAGCAGTATGCCTGGTTTTTTGGATGTTTTAGAATAACAGAAAATATATTCTGCATGACTAGTCTTCATTAGAAATAATCCAAGCAGTTTTGAAGAGTTTATATTCGGTCTTTCTAAGGAAAAAATGTATCTTTCATTTTTACAGACGATAGCACGACAACTGGCTGAAATTTTGTTACGAGGCATGTGTGAACAGAGTTACTGGAATCCACTAGAAGATCCTCCTCACCAATCACCCCTAGATGATCCGCTTCGAAAAGGTTCAAATACTAAGAATTACACGCTCAGTAGAAGACCGAGGGTATACACTGGAGAAAAGTATGGCTGAATTCATACCTCTCTTGTTTCTATGGTCACAATTGTTACACAGTGCCTGGGTAATTTAGTTTATATCTTTGAATACATAGAAGGAATTGGCCAATGTGAATGGGAATGTTTCCTATGCTCTGTGTGTGTGTGTGTCTGTATATATAATCCTTGAAGAGAACTAGGGAAACAACATGCTGCTTCAACAAGTTTGCACTGTATGCACAAGACCTCTTGTTCTCAATTCTCAAAATATATTTTTGGTTCTGTACTGGGATATAAGGTAGAGTCAATATCTCTTATTATACCTGAGATAAAAAAGAAAACATGAACTTGATGGCAAATCTGAGATCACACATTTTAAAAGTTGTGTGCTGTTTCTAGACCTCTATTCTGTTTTATCATAAAAAGGAAAGAGTTAGCAATATGGAGGTTCAAATTCATCCCTGAAACGTGAAAAACCAAAACATCTATCAATTTATCTAGCAGTTTCTAAGGTAGTTTATTTTCCAATGCAGCTACCTTTTAATCTTCTTAGGTTACTTTTGGTATTTCTCTGTGATACCACCTTTTTGTTGAGTTTTATTTTTTCAGTGATTCAGCTAAGTGGTATGCTATAGATCATTTTTGTGTAGCATATCCCACAGTTAATTCTAGAGTAGCTTTGGTGTATATCCCTTCCTTCCTGAAATTGCGTGGGTTTTTTTCAAAACCGATCACAATTAGTGTTATATGTGGATAGTCATTTCCTTGAATTTGAGCTTTTTCTTAAAAGTTAATAGCTTGTTGTTTGTTTGTATCTGATCAAATGAAAAATGGTTTCTAAGGTAGTTTTCCTTAGACACACACACTTTGACAGCGCCAGAAATATATATTGACAAAATTTTGCACTCACTGCCTGAAAGTAATGTGCTTCTGTCAGAGCACACTGGTGAAATCTTAATCATTTGCCACTGTCTTTTGAATTTATTTTTTTTATGTCATTGATACTAAATTTGATCCAATGAAACTTTGTTGCATGCTTGTTTTACATAATCTGCAACTTTTGCACTGCTCTTCTTTTAGTCTACACACAAGTCCTTATGGGGTCTTGTATTTTGCATATGTATATTTAATATAGTCAGCAACTATTGCTTGCTTGTTTTGATACAAGCTGGAAAGCACTGTGAGCCAGAGAACTGAGAATTAGATTGTAGCAGTGGGGATAATGATGTGGCCAAGATTATGATTTGCTGTAGTAGGACAATGCTAAGTAATGCAGATGGAGAAGATTGAAAAACTTAAGAAAAAAAATTTACAGAAGAGGTTGTGGAGTCTGGAGAATATCGCTGGAGATATTTAAAATCCAACTGAATGTGGTCCTGGGCAATCCTGGGGTTTGGTTTTTGCTTATGTTGGGAACTGGTAATGTTGGGTTGATGGTTGGACTTGGATGATCTTTAAGGTCTTTTCCAACCTAGACAATTCTGTGATTCTGTATGTGAGAGAGAATGAATGAATGAATTCCTACCAGTCATGTACCTAATGCAGATAACTGTTCTCTGTCCAGCAGCACAGAAGAGTATTCAGAAGGCATCCAGTGTTCAGAGAAAGCAGTAAGGTTTGCAAACTAGTCCCTGCAAGCCTTCAGTATTAAGTCATAAGAAAGTGTACTTCATTAAAAACAAATGTTTTAACCACTTGGAAGTAACAGTGGTTATGGCAAGCAGGCAGAGATTGCCATGGCTCTATTTAAAAATATTCACAGTTAATGAAAGCCTAATGGAAATATTTATCCATGTATTGCTTAAAATACAAAAGGTGTCTGGTTCTTGTGAGAAAGTTTCTTGTTGCTGATGTTTGTATCAGGGTGTAGATCCGGTTCAGATAGATTAGGTGCCAGAAGTTGGTTGAACTACGGCTACTTCTTACAGTTGTCAACTTATGTGCAATTTTGGGATATTTGAATGTGTTCAACTCTGACAGCTGTGGTGTTTTTTTTCTCTTACTGTGTTTGACCAACTTTACTGAAATGCAAATTTAGAGCATCGCAAAGAAATGCATGTTAACCAGTCATTTTTTCTATGCAAGTTACTCTGTTCTCTTTTCTGGAAATTTTCCAGTTTTTGCAGTACTCTTACTATATTTGTGTAAACTAGTCATAAAAGTAATGCATTCTAATTCAACAATTAAATTCTTGTTTTGAACAGCATCTTTTGTCCTCAAGAAAATACAGAAGAAGCCTTACTGTTGCTGCTTATTAGTGAATCTATGGTGGGTAAAATAGTGCTAATGTATGTGTGCTGTAGGTGTGTGTGTTTTCCTTGGGTTTTTAAAATGAGAACAGAACCTTTTTTGTCATGCCTTACTTAGACTTCTGTTTCATTTTCTGTTCAGAAAGCAGGCAGTTACTTTTGAAACTCAAGCTTCTGTTCCTCTGAGCCAGCAAGATGAGGTGTGCAAGTGTTAACGAATAGGAGTATTTCTCCTTTGGAATGGCTGAACCTAGCCTCCTTCTAACCATAGGCAGGTGAACACAAAGCCAAGTCTTTCATTTGACATTACTTATCAGTATAAACCACTGTTAGACCAGGTGGTTGCCATTCAGACAGACTCAAAATGTAAGAATTTTTTGTTGTAAAAAGCAAATAAAAAACTACTAGATAAGCATAATAAACATACCCAAAAAGTATTGTGCGTTGAACCTCAGATGTCACTCAAACTTATAAATTATTTTAACGATACTGGTGTTCATCCTTTGCTACTGGATTTTTTTAAAATGTCCTAATTTCCTCAATAGATGATTTCTTTTAATGGACTACTTGTGCCTTTTATCAGTCTTGCATATTTTTCTCTGGTATGATTTTACTAGTCATCTACCAACTGTCATGTACTGACATTCTCATACCAGATCAGTAAGATGTTCTCAGGTGGCAGAAATGAAAAGCTGAAGCTGGAATTTTTGCTTTTTTTTTTTTTTTTTTTAATGGAGGGGTGGAACCTCTAGAAGCTGAGTCATCATATAGGCTGTCTCACTGCACATCAATGAGACTTAGTTTTTTAAGTTCTATAGGTGATTCAAATGTTTTCATGCTCTGGCATAATTTCAGTTTTGATACAGTTAAATAGGATCACAACATTTTAGTGAACATTGTCCTATTTGAACTATTTTAAAGTGGCAAAAACTTATATTGTAGCGTGAGCTAATTTCCTCATTCCTAGTGATCTTCATTGCAATGTTCATGACAAAATTTGTCACCAGAAAACTAGACTGAGCAAGCATTTTCACATATCATATATTGGTTTTGTTGCAGTATATTCTTATCACTGAAAGGGGCTGCCTGTGCCTCTGTAAGGTGCCTGAGCAGTGCATGGAGATATACAGAATTCTGATGTGAACTGTGGTTGTAGTATGAAATGGAAGCAGTCCCAGTTCTGCAGGATCTGACGACTAATTACTGTATTTGAATATGTATTCCCTTGCATATCAGCATTAAGAAGTGAAAAAACAAAAGTACTGCCCTGTTAAGTCTCATTTCAGGTTACTTACAGATTTTGCTTGTCACTGTAGAGCATATACCCTTCGCAAGCTTTCAATATTTTTTTTTCTTTACAAGTAATTATTGCAGGTTATCTGAGGCAAAAGAGTTTGTTTTGGGGGAGTATAAAATCTTTCACATGATTTAATTACTTTGACTAAGTCAATTGTTCAATGTTAGTATGGGGGGGAAAGGCAAAGATTGAGCATAAAAATATTCGTCACAACAAACTTGTCTTTCTGAGCGTTGAGAGCTGTTACTTCAGCTTCAGCGCATGTTAACTTTCTGGCTGTATTATTTATGAAGTAGTATGTAATTTATGATTTTGAAACCAGTATTTGGGAAAGAAATAGCAGTTACAGAAGATTGAGTAATCATTTTGAGATGTTACTGTGTTCTTACAGTAGTTTGATCCCTTCCTTGCATTAGTCTGAATTAGTGAAAACACAGATAAGGTGTCAAGACTTCTGTCCCTCAAGAACTTATTCAAGTACATACTGGAAAACAGAATGAGGATCTGACACATAAGTAGCATTTTGTGTAAGTAAAAGTAATCAAATCACTGTGTATATACGAGCCCTAAATCATACTGCTAGTTTCAGTGAAGTGGCGCACTCTAACTTCATAACCTTGTGTTTGGATTAGAACTAGTGCAACATACATCTGAAAAATGGAATCTTGCTGCTTTTGTGTCACCTTGAGTTGCCTTAATTTTCAAATTCAGAAAGGATGCTTTGAGTAAGATTTAAATCATAATATTTATGAAAGAAGTGCTCTGGGAAAGATAGTTCTGTACTTTTCAAGTGTTCCGATGCTCTTAGAGGTACATTTCAGACTACTCTTTTAGCCACGTGACTGCTGATAGAGTGAATTGTCATGCCTAGTGAGGAAAGTCAGCTGCAACTCTGCCATCACTCTTACCATTAAGATGATCTTATATTCTATCTGTTGCAAAGTATAGACCAGCCTTTACTTATCTAGGCAGGAGTTAGTAGGAAGGTGGGATCTGGAGGACTGACATCTTCACGTTAGTGTGTGTACATAACAGAATCATGGAATAATTAAGATTGGATGGGACTTCTGGAGGTCATTTTAACCCACTTCCCTCCTCAAGCAGTGTGACCTGGAGCAGGCTGCATCTGTGTCTAGATGCCTTTTGAATATTTTCAAGGAGGGAGAATCCACAACCTCCCTGGGCAGCCTGTGCCAGTGCTCAGTCACCCTCACAGTAATAAAAAGTGTTTCCTGATGTTCAGAGGGAACCTTCTGTGTTTCAGTTTGTGTTAATTGCCTCTGGTCCTGTTACTAGGTACCACTGAAAAGAGCCTGGCTCCCCCTTCTGTGTACCCTCCCTTCAGGTATTTATATACATTGATAAGCCCCCCTCCTCCCTGAGCTTTCTCTTCTCCAGACTGAAGAACCACAGCTCTCTAAGCCTTTTCTCATAGGATAGTCCAGTCCCTTATTCATCCTAGTGGTCATTTGTTGGACTGTCTCCAGTAGCTCCATATATCTCTCTTGTTCTGGGGAGCCCTGAACTGGATGCAGTACTGTATGCGTGGCCTCACCAGTGCTGAACAGAGGGTAAGGTTTGCTTCCCTCGACCTGCTGCCAACACTCCCTCTCATGCAGCACAGGATGCCACTGGCCTTCGTTCCAGCAAGGGCACGTTGTTGCCTCCTGTTCAACTTGGTGTCCCCCCAGGTCCTTTTCTGTGAAGCTGATTTCCAGCTGGGTGGCCCCCAGCATGTACTGGTGCCTGGGGTTGTTCCTTCCCAGGTGCAGGACTTTGTACTTCCAAGTCTTTGTTGAAGCCTTTGATGAAGTTCCTGTCAGCTCATTCTTTCAGCCTGTTGAGGACCCTCTGGATGGCAGCACAGCCCTTTGGCATGCCAATTCCTCCTCCTAGTTCTGTATCATCAGCAAACTTGTTGAGGGTACACTCTGCCCCATCATCCAGATCATTAATGAAGATTTTGAACAGGATCTGGCCTAGTATCAGTCTCTGGGCTACACTGCTAGTTACTGGCCTTCATTTCATTGATCACATCTCCTGGGCTCAGCCTTATGTGTTACTCTGAGCTGGTGGTAAAATGGCTGAACATGTGGTTTAACTAATTGTGACTTTATTGTGTCTGAGAGTATGGCAGTTCTGAGCCACTGAGTACTTAAGTTTGTACATACATTCCTTTTTAAAATTATGTGGAATGATAGTTCAAATATTTGATACCTTTAACACTGCTTACTGCCATATATACTAGCATTTGTACCAATAAGAATATTAAACATCAAGAGATCTAGAAGTAGATAAGAAATCAAGATAAGGTATTTTCAGAGGCTTGATGGTATAGTGGGAGAAGTACTGGGTAGATCAATATAGGCAGTCTTAGCTACTGAGAGACCTTCTTTGCTCTTTTAACAAGATTTCTTTGTGAACATGGTCAGTTCATATAATCCACTTCTAGCCCAGCTTTCTTCCTTCTCAAAAGGAAAAGTTTAATTAAGGAATTAGGTTTGCAACGTGCTTTTCACAAAAATGGATTGAAAGTACAAAGCCTTACTGTAAATGTGGCCTGATTCCAAACCTGTGCTCAGAACCAGGGACAGTTTTCATTTCTACTAGTAACTCCTGAAGATGGTTTTGTGGTTATCCTGGGCAGGTCATCACGTGCAAGTGAGAGGATAGTGTCATAATGTTCTGAAGAGAAAATAAATTGATTGCCTTATTTTACAATAGCTGGAATAGAGGTTTTGATGATCCTTCTAATATGTGTTACTAGCATACAAAAAAGAAAATAAAATTTTAAAGATTCATATAAGTTACATTTTAAAAAACCCCTTATTTGATTTCTGAGAACTTTTCAGTAATTTAAAAGACATTACTTATGTAATTAGAATCATGTAATTAAAAATAGATCCATATAGAAACATAAATCTTGCCACTAATAAAATTGGTGATCTTGCTGTCTGTAAATTAGTAGCAGATACTGTCTCTGTATCACCTGTATCAACTGCTGACTGTCAGTCTGAATAGAAGAGTAACTACTTGATCAGAGATGTAGGTTGGATTATAATGGCTGACTTTGTTTCTTTTTTCATTGTATGTTTCAGGCTAACCGTGATGCTGTACTGAGCCGAATACCAGAACACAAAAATGATCGAATCATCAGTTTGCAAAGTGCATCTGTAGTCTATGATTTACTTACTATAGCCTTGGGAAGAAGAGGCCAATATGAAATGCTCTCAGAGGTTTGTCAATAATAGTGAATATTCAACTGTGTCTTCATTGCTTGTTTCTGTTAATTATGTTAATTGTGGTAGTGCTTGAGGGCTAAACAAATATAGGACACTGTCATTCTGACTACTGAATAAATACAGTAGGTAGTTTCCACCCCAGAAATTTTACTGTCTAAATTTATACAAGTGACCACTTGAGGTGGTCAAGCACAGAATATGGATGAAAGGTGTGGTAAATGTTTAATGGTACAGAAATACACATGGCTTTTAAGTAGGGAGGCATGGGTCAGCTTAAAAGCATACACGTTAAATGGAGGCAGCAGGAAGGGATGGTAAAAGATAAAAGCTGTTGTGGATATAAAAGATAGTTATAAATACCTAGAAAAAGGATTTATGATGTCTTCTTTCAAAAGAAGACTTTCTTTTACACCTTGTAATGTTTGGAGTGCTCCAAAGTCCTCATAGTTTGTAAAATGGCTTTGAAGTTAATAAACCAGAAATGTATTACTTTTTCAGGTCTGTAGGAAAGTATATTCTCTGTCTCAAATGTCTTGTGTTTGATTATGCAACTTGCATGTGTTTTGTTAGATTGTGGTGACTTCTTCAGAAAATGTTCAGGTATTGTTAAATTCTGTATCTGGGAAACAACTACAGCTCTTTAGGCAGAGCAAATCTTTCTGCTGCTCAAAACAGTGTTCACCCAGCAGCAGGATGCTGTTGCAAACCATGATTTCCTTCTGGATATCAAGAATTATACTTGAGCATGTATGGTAGGAAGGCATATCCAGGTGTTGATTTGCTGAGAAATGGTTTCTCTTTACCATAACAGGGGACTTTTATTAAGGTAAAAATGAAAAAAAGCCCCAGTTCTTCTCTGGTATATGTTGATAGTCACCCTTTAATTGCATCTCCTGTGCTCTTAAGCTCTGAATAGCTGCAAGTTGTGCATACAAGTCAGTTTTAATCAGTACAATAGAAAGTCTTTCACAAAACTAAGGAGTATGAAAGCTCATATAGGACTGTAACCCTACAACATAATCTAATCAGGAATATTTCAATTTACTTGCCACTGCAGACACAGGAGTTTTAGGAGGTTACACCAAAGTTGCAAGAGATGACTCTCCATGTATTTTAGTCTAGAACTTTTTAAATGATAAACATCAGCAAGTATTGTAAAAAAAACCAAAAAACCAACCCACTTGAAAAGGTAACTTTATTGATTTCTTTTTTTCTTTAAGCATTTGGCAACCTTTTTTTTTTTACATACTAGCCTAGCAACTAGGCAGGGGTGGTGTAGCCCTGGGTTCCAGTTCTGATTGTTTTATTTTGTCTGTGGTGGTGTGTTTTTGTTTTTTTGTTTTTTTTTTTGTTATGGATTTTTTGTCTTTTTTAGAATGGTAACCCACCATTATATTAATGGGAACATCACAGGTTCCTGGGATTCCTCCACTCTCTCCTTTGGGTCACTTTGTTTAGTATTTATGTCACAACAGATGCAGCTTTTTGTTTGCAGTTCTTCTTGCCTTTCTTAATTGAGAAGTTTTTTGGCTTCACCAGGAAAGCCAGAGGTATCTCTGTTCTTAGCCATGTATCTTTTAGTCTAGGACATTACCATGAAGGTTAGAAGGGAAGTCTTACAGTCCCCTTACAAGGAGAAGAGCACAGAGCTTTCTTTTCTCACTGCTTGTGTGATTGGTTTAGCCCCTGTACCTTAAAGATAAGTATCACTGACTGTTCCTTTTCCTTCTGTGTTTTGAGTGCGGTTGAATGATCTAATTAATGGAAGATGTTTTAACTCGACTTGGATCTTTGATTTCAGTGCCTTTTAGAAGTTGCTTGTGCTGGTGGTGATCTTGGTTACAGACAAAGGCAGAGCCACCAGTATCTGGAAAGTTAAAGAGCTTCCATGTTTGACCAGCTTCTTCCTTAAGGATTTTTAGCTAGTGCCTTGTGCTTTGACACGTGAAGTCTACCTAAGGCTTGTTTTAAGGTCTTTTCTTGTTCATTTTTTTTAATCTGGATCTAGCATCTTTGCAGTTACATTCCATCAGAATTATACATATATACTATTGAAATGTTCTCTTTGAAAAATAGAAAATTTTTCTTACATGTTTAAAAAAATAATTTTCATTACAGGATAATTAAAATTTATTTATTACATGTCCTTAAAGTATCTATTCTGAACATGAGAAAAATCATCTTATGAAGACCCGGTAAAATAGACAGTACTTATTTTAACATACAGATGCACTACATGTATAGCTACAGAAGGAGCTTATCAGGAAATGGTTAGAACATCTGTGATTTGTTCCAGTTCTTGTCATCCACATCACAGTGGAAAACAGACTTTAAGAAGCTCTTACAGTTTAGTGAGTGGTTAGAGGGTATCTGCCCTCAAATCCTGCGGCCTGTAGTCTGAGACTTTTATAATTTAAAGTATTACAATAAACACAGATTCAGAAATGTACAAACATTCTGTTCACTTATATAATAGGCACATCATTATTTGCTGACTTCATTCTCTGTGAGATAACTATGATTGCTCTAGTGAAGCTGTTGTAGCTTCAAGTCAGAAAGCACCATTATTCTAACTGTCGAAATGATACTCACCTACCAGTTCCAATATCTTGTTGTTATCTTCTGTTTTAGCTATAGCTGATTACTTAGAGAGGTAGTTATAAGTGATATAAGAACATTAAATCATCAAAATCCTTCTTAAACTGTTTGGTGAGTCATGTTCTTAATTGAAAAGCCCTTATTTCTTTATGGAGTTTGTATACAATGGGCTTTCAATTTCTTATGGCTTCTTCAACTAGATCAAATAACTTTCTACTGTCATAATTATTTTCTAAACAAAAGTACTCTGATTGTCATCAAATTGTTTTTTAAGCTTTATAGGATATGCTTTATTGAGCTTATCAATGTCCTATTAGGAGAGATGTTTTCCAGACCTGAAATTTTCACAGATACTCATCTTTCAACTCTCTTCTTCAAGCATATTCTTTTCAGGAGGAGACCATAGTGCTAAGCAACAAAATTCAGTAATGTGTTTAACATTAGCTGTCCATATAGTCATTTGTGATTGTTTGCAAGGCAATATCAACAGTTTTATTTCTGCCTTTCAGTAGAGGGATTGTACTGAATGTGTTTTCAGTTATTCAGTTGCCATTATCCTGAACATTATTCTAACTTGCAGTTTTCCAGGGTACTATTGCTTGTTATGTATTTCTTATTGATTTCTTGATGGAGCCTGTTGTTCTTTGAAATTACTTGTTGTTACTTGGCTCAGAAGAACCGAGTTTGGGGTGTTTGGGTTGTTGCATGGGCTACATACACGTATGTGCATATATAACCCTTACCCCCGCACATGCTAATTTTGTGATCTTATGAAGAGAAAAAGTCATGTAACTTGTCACATTTCATACTGAATGAAGCCAAGTAACTAGAACTTGAAGTTAAGGAAAAAGAATGGTGTCACATCCCGCTCAGATGAGGGAGGCAAATGACTTAGATTCATAAATCTTCAAAGGAGTGGACAGCAGTGAGACAAGTCTCAAAGTCAGACATTTAGTGACTTCCACAATGTGCTGATTGGATACAAGATAATTGGCAAAGTATATAACGAGTTATGGTATGCGATGTAGTTTGCCTTGTGTTACTAATTGTGGTGAGGGAAAAGGGGAAAAAGAAAAGAAGGGAGACAGAGACAATAGAGAAATAGATATCACCGGTCCAGGTTCCTGTGTTGGTCCCATCTGAGTTCATCAGGGATGCATCTGTCGCCTTCACTTCCTCATGTCTTCTTTTTTCTTTCTCTGTTTCATTCCTCACCGCCCCCTCAATTTATACACACTTTCCTTGGGTCCGTCCCCTAGGTCGACCGACATACCTATGTATTCTGTGTATGGGGAGAGGTAAGGTGCTTCATGGGATGATGTAATTAGCATGATCTTCTTAATCTTTATTAGCATATTCGGGGTTCCAACTTTAATATCCATTTTGCGAATAATGAAGCGACAGTCGTTCACCAGACAGATGGCCCTTGAAACTTTACAGGATGCCCCAGACCAGAACCATCCTGCCTTCACAGGGCTCCCTCCCCCAGCCCATCCTGTGCATTCAGGCAGCCTTATCAGCTCCAAACTCCACACCATCCACCCCATGACTATAGTTTCGCTGCTTGTGAGTGTTTGAGACATTCCTCAGCTCGGAGGGCCTCTGCTTCCTGCCCCCCCATCTCTCTCAGGCTCTTTTTTCTCACAGGTCTGTTTCTCCCAGGCCCTGTGTTGGGGAGTTACAAGTCATCCCTCACAAATGATAAATAGATCTTTAATACCTTGAAACTCAAGCCTTTTAGGATAATATACAGCTGTGTCCTGTGTTCCTATAATTACAAAATTATAAAACCCTAAAGTATCAATTTCTCCAATGTCTTTATTTTCTGCCAGTTAGAATTAGCAATTAATTTTTAATAAAGCAAGGCCTAGAAAATAAGATTTTTGTAATTGTGAACAAGTACCTCTATATAATTATTGCTCATGCATATGTGTATAAATATGTAAAAAAGGGAGAAGAAAGTATGATTAGACATCCTAAAAAGTTATAAACTTGTTTTGACTTTTAAGTTTCTATGCACCACTTATTTTGTGTAGATCTCTGGGATTATATGGCTGGTGTAGTTCTGGAAGAAGTGCTGAAATTGCTTAAATCATATGTAAAATACTGCTATCAGAACAGGTAGAGTGAGTTGTATTAGAAAATGTACTTGAAAAGATAAGCCTGAATTCATTCTCCTTCATTTATAGGCACTCAGTTTAGAACCACAGTTGTACTAATTAGTGGAGAGAGAGGGATTTAACAACTTCTGTTTTCTGCCAAGTTCATGGAGGGAGATGGAGGAGTGTGCCTTACCTAGGCATCTCTGCAGAGTATCCAAAGTAATAGGAAAAGACATCACATATAACTTACTTGTTTCTTGCTGTGATCTTTTTGCTTCCACTGATGAAAAGAAAGTCCAATAGGAAAATAAATCCTGTGTTGGTTTTCTTAAAATTCTGTTTAGTAATAGTCTTGATACTGGACATTGTATAGTAGAAAAAAATTCTAGCACATACTACTTATATGTAGCAAATGATGCACTTACTGTATTTGTTTTGTTTCATCCTCAGTGCTGTTCTTTGCTTCAGGTTCTGGATTTGCTACATGCCTGGCTGTGCTTTCTGTAACGTTAAGACTGAGTTTGAATGTGAAAAATAATTCATGTTCTTAAAGTTTAGCATATACATTATAGCTATCAGAGCAGAAAAACTGCTTCATGTAATTGGACTCTGCAGACTAGAAAATGAATTGCTAAATCAGTTTAATCCAAAAAAGTGTTGTGGCTTTTGACTCTCTGGAGCTGGCTTGATTAATAAAAATGAGCATAGCAAAATGAAATAATTCTGTTGACAACAGCAGATATGAAACCTTCAAAATTAGCATATAATGCTTAATTCAGTATACTTAATCTCAGTGTCTTAATAATGAATTTCCTTTGGCATTCAGTTATTAAGTTGAAAATAGCAGAATATTGAGTGTGAAGTTAAAATTCTTAAGAATAGAAATAATACTGTCAGTGAACCTTTACCCCACACACCCCCATACCCCTCTTTTAAGTGGTACTGGTAAGTACTTATGGTGCCATTGCTTGTTAAGTATTTACAATTTAGGAAGATTGTGTGTACAGTTTTCCTTTTCACTTAAGATTTATTTCCTGCCTTCTGCAACTGATATTTATCATTCCTTCTTTCAGACTAAATAGGATGGTACCAGCAGGCATATTTAAACAAACATAATAAATGGGAAATCAGTTTTCTGTTCAATTATTTTTTTCATATAGAATCTGGCAGCTGTTTTCACTTATTTGAATGGTATAGTTTTTTTAATTACATGTGTTTTAGTTTTGAGACTATAAGAAAATTTTTATACTTGTATATCTCAATAATTGAAGAATGTGCTCTTAAATAACTATTTTCTCCCCAAAATTAGTGTTTAGAAAGAGCCATGAAGTTTGCGTTTGAAGAGTTCCATCTCTGGTATCAATTTGCATTGTCCTTGATGGCAGCAGGAAAAGTAAGTCTTTAATTTTTTGGTGTAATTCTTCTATTGATGGGTTTTGATAACAGCATTTGGCACTTCCATGGTTTTCATCTGTACTGTTTTTGAAAATAATTCTAATTCTTAAATTAGCTAAGTACAGTGTACTCTTGAATTTATGCCCGATGCTGTAAAAAGAATGTTGTTATTTCAACAGCTTTTAACTCTGAAAGACTGAAAATTCATGATGATAAATATCTTGCCAACAAGCTTAAGCTAAGCTAACTGAATGTATGTAGCAAATTATACTAGATCATATTATCCAGTAAAAACTTCTTTAAATGCTGGTCTGGTGAATGAACTTTACACTTAGGTACAAATTAACACTGATTCATAATGCTCTTGGTTTTTTTTTTTTCTTTTGGAATTTCTGAATGTGTCTTTTTTTAATATTACTGTCTTTGAGACTGTGTTATTCTGTGCAATTAAAATGAGATAGATGTATTTTTTTTAAATTGTATATAACCTAGGAATTTATGTTATCAGATGCAGTCTTCTATTTTCAGGGGTTTTTTGCTTTTCCCTGCCATGTTATGGAAAATAAATTACATTCATTATGTAATGTAAATAAAGCTAATTTTCTAAAAGATCTTTCTCAATGGGGGTAATTTGCTTATCTTTAGTATGGGGGGAAGGAATAATTAGTATTTTCTTTAAAAAATATTTTTAGAGGCACATTGGTTCTGAAGAGACTTGTTTCTTCTTCCCATTCTCTATTTACTTTGAGTTATCTTTTAAACTGTGATTGTATGGAAGCAAATGAATTAAAAAAAGAAAAGCAGAGACAGTCTCTTACACAGTCTTATATCAGAGCTATTAGTAAGTGCTGTAGTAACTCCCAAAGAACTGTAAAACACTACTTAGTCTGAAGACTCTGTCCTGTTCCTGTTCTTTCATTTCTATGGATAAAATGTTATGAGCTTACGGGGCTAGCAAAGTTTTAAATACATCTCAAAACTGTTCTCTGTATCGTCTACCATTAGAATTACGTTCTGGGCAGATATTTCACTGGGGACACTTAATGTTATTTAATCCCTATGAACTACTAACAGCAGTGCCTAAAGTCTTGTGTTTCACTTGCATGAGGAGTTGTGACAAATTGTCAACAAGGTTGGTTCAGTAGTGTCTCCTTCACATGGGAAAAACAAAGTAAATTACAGGAATAGGAATCTTCTATCTGTGAAACATATTAATGCTTTTAGTAATTTGAATGGAAAATGTTTTTAACAGTCTGCTCGAGCTGTAAAAGTCTTGAAGGAATGTATACGTTTGAAACCAGATGATGCAACTATTCCACTCCTTGCTGCAAAGCTCTGTATGGGATCTCTCCACTGGGTAAGCTTTGCCACTCTTGTCTTTTCAGCAAGAGCTGCGCTAAAATATAACAAAATTTGGTTTAGGCATGTAGCAAATACTTTTGCACAGAGACTACATGCTCTTGCTCATCTGTAAAAATACAGCACAGATACCTGTATGCACATGTACATCCTTGTTTGCATTGCTAGTTTAAAATATTTAACAGCAATGCTTATGTTTTTCAGAGTAGCATATCTTGATACTGATCTAAGACACAGCTAAAATGTATTAGGAATTGAAACACTGCTAGCATACAAAGATTAAAAATGCAGTTTAGACTTCTGTTTGTGCAAGAGGAAAATAACTTCTTTCGGAAGATAGACAAATCTCTTACATTCGAGAGACTCTTCTGGTTGATGCCATGTTTGCAGGCAGCTGGGGTTTATGAATTCCTAGTAGAGATAGTGTCTTTCTAAAAAGTATTACTAGAATTGTTTTTTAGATAACCTTGAAATTGTCATATCTTTACAAAAAACATTAGGGTGATCAAAGATCATCATGTGGGTTTCAAGATACACATAATTTTTAGAAAAATTAGTATATTTTAAAAAGGAGGGAAAGGTCACAATCAGAAATCGGGAAAATAGTAAAGTAGCAGAAACATGACTTGTTGAGGCTGACAAAAATACAGTCTTAATTAACGTAGATCTTAGTTCTGTAAATTGTTCCCTATGGATTGACTCCATATGGAGTAGCTTACTGTACTTAGCATATACATTTACTGGAATGGAATCAAATGTTATGTTTTTCTTTATAGATTGTTAAATAGTGTGGTAGCATGGGTGTGCAGCTAAACCTTGATCTTTTACATGTTTATTTATGAGTTTGCATATATTCAGCAGTACTGTATGTAGTGCAGAGTTATGCATGGCTATCTTTTTTTTTGCTGGATTGGAGCTATAGTTCTTGTAATGAATTTTCCTAAAGAAGTGGTTCATGGGGCAAGAACTCTATTTAAGAAATGCAAAAAGAGTAGAAGGCATATATGGACAAAAAAAGTTTGTTGTTTTTTTTTTTTTTTTAAGTTAAAAAAGAAAAAAGGCCAAACCACAGTAAGTTTAGAATGATCTGCATGTTATGTGCCAGAGTTTTTCTCAACCATATGAATGGCTGTTTCAGCTTAAAAACAGTATTCTTTACTCAGTATTTAGAAGGAAAACCAAGTCTAATGAAAAACAAAATACTCCTTAATAGCAATCATGCTGAGATTTCAATAGACTCAGTGTGCATAATACACATGATGTGTATTCTTCTCATTATAATATAAGTTTTAGCTAGTTTTAGACTTACACAGATGTTTTATAATATTTTCAGTTGGAAGAAGCCGAAAGATTTGCCAGAACAGTTGTTGATCTTGGGGACAAAACATCAGAGTTCAAAGCAAAAGGCTACTTGGCACTGGGATTGACTTACAGTCTGCAGGCTACTGATGGTAAGATCGGAATAAACATTGACATTTGGAAATTCCCATATTGCTTAAAAAAAGGATACCTGCCATAATGCTAGATTTAAACCAAAACCTTCTGTGTGCAACCGTTTTTTCAGTCAATATATTAAAACTTCTTCAGTGAGCATGTGGAATGAAATGTCTTGATCTTGCATATCACTGATTAAATATATCCTTTTTAGCATCTTTGCGAGGGATGCAAGAGGTCTTGCAGAGAAAGGCTCTTCTTGCATTTCAGAGGTGAGTGGGTGTTAATCTTTTAATTTCATTCTGTTATATGTAGTGAAAAGCCTCTTTTTAATACATGATAAAAGGACTTGTAAAAGATTGTGTAATGAGGATTTCACCTCTGGGAGTCTCCCTTCATGAGTACAGAATGTATTTCTTTAGCATTTACTTTATAATTTTCTGTCTGAAATATCTAAATTAATTTCTAAGGATTTCATTTTATTTCATTTTAAAGACATGTTTGTGGCTCTCTGGTACAAAATATTTGGTCAAAGGAGTATTTGTTCTGATCTAGAAGGGAAAGTCATATGATGGCAAGGTTTCAAGTCATGGTTCAATGTGATAGTCTTTCTAGAAGAATTCGTGATCAGATTGTATAGCAGGCTTTTGCAATTACCTGTGTAGAGGCAGAACAGTAATTGAGGCCCTGCTGCTGTGGATGAGGGGCAAAATACTGGTAGTAATATAGGGGCAAAGAAAAAATTCTTTGTGGAGATTTAATAGCACAGGCAGTGACAATGCAAATGCCCCCTTTTCCAAGTTCCTTACACAAAAGTAGCACTGTTGGGGATGACAGTAATTCGTTCTTAAGGGTTTGGCTCTGGACATAAAACGACAATGAACAGGTTAATAAGAACATCTCTACCCTAATTACAGTAGAAACAAATTTTGTTGGCAAAGGTGGCAGAAGTGCTGCAGCATCTAAATATGTCTCTTTATGTACCCTTGAAAACCCTGCTTTAGTGAGATAGGCCTAAATGCTTCAGGGAAACTGGTTTGTGCATTTATATGAATACGAAGTCTTGGATTTTTGCTGGTTATCTTGTATCTGAGGGGATAGGGTTGAGAAAGCGTTTTGCAGGTAACTTTAAAGTGAGGCTGGTATGTATTAGTCCTTCCTCTTCCTGTCTTAACAGTTGCTCTGTATCTAAATATGTCTTTACATATCTTTGCTCTTCCTGTTTTTTAATGGTTTTAATAGTGTTTTTTATTATTTCATCATTCATTCTCCATGCTGAAACCGACTTTCTACCTCCTGGTTTATACCTCAGTTCCTCACCTATCCCTCATCACTGACTTAATCACCACTGTTTCAAAAATACTGCGCTAACCATTTTTGCCATTTCTACCCATTCACTGATTTTGAGGGTTCTGATAGTGAATTTCTTTTTTTTTTTCTGCTGGTTCTTTGAAACAGCAAGGGGTGAAATGAACCATTACCTGAATTTAATCCATTCCAGTTCAGTGCTTGCTGACTCTACCTCCAGTTTAGTATAGCAGTTCCCAAAATTGAGTCATTCCCTGCTGTCAATCTGTCTGGAAAATTTCCATTTTCTGAGGGTTGAGGTTGTGCAGTGTTTTGACCACCCATAAATATAAGGATGCTTTTATAGGTAGCATACTGCTTATTGTGGTAATATTTTATTAGGTTCCTATAGAAAAGGAATAAGTAGTTTGAGTTAAAAGAGAATAACCAATACACAGTGGGTTAGGAGAGCTATTTTTAGTTCATCGCTGTGAATTTATTCTTTCACACTCTCTATTCATAAATTGTTGTTCGGTTGTGTGTCATGTTGTCTTTCTCCCAGGAAGTTTTCTGTTTCATTCTGTACAGCTGGACCATAAGTCTCTTGATACCTTAAATGTTCAGTTTCAAAGACTTCCTAGCAGTGAGTAGTGCCAGCTGAAGTCTGAAAACATAATCTGGCATCCCTTCAGTGAACCATTACAGATGTCCTTTAGCTATATAGGTTGAGTGGAACTTCAGTTTTGGAGCTTAGAAGTATTTGTGCTAACTGGCAAAATATAAATTTATACACAGAAAGTTTTGGAACATGAGGATTAATTGCATCTGCATTCTGTGCATCTTTCTGATGCTTTGTGATTTTTCCATTTGTGGGGGGTTGTTTTCTTTTTTTCTTTCCAGTTCATAGAACCTCCTGGAAACAATGTTTTGTCTTAAGTGCATGTTCCAGGGTGTTGATGTTAAATTATATATTCATCCTTTCTGTTAGCATTCTCTGAACAATCTTGTACATAGGCTTTTAATTAAAGTATCTTTTGGGGAGGTTTTAGTAATGTGCAGGTGTATGCTTTGAAAACTCTAGTGAATTGCTGATATTGCTGATATGAGTAGCTCAGACTCCACGCAGAATCTTGAGAAGAATGGTTTGGCTCTCAAAAAGAACAGACTTTCTGCATCCCAGAAATCTCACAGCTACCTTATAAGAGAAGGAAAAAAAGTATGTTTTGCAAGGTGATTGTTTTGTATATTAAAATGTTTCCCTACTTGTTTTCGTAGAGAGGCTCACACCTGATAGATCAGCTGTACTGGAAATACACTTTGATAAGATTGCTGGTTCCTTGTTGATAACATAGGTATAGGATGTTACCGAGAATTTGTTACCACAGAGGATATGTTATGCTCAGTAAACCAGAGTCATGCTCTCTTCCCACATCTTAAAAATAAATGTTTTTCAGGAGGTGGAAGTTCTCCATCTTCTACACAGTTTATAAAGTGAGGAGCTGTACTGGACTCAGTATTTTGATGTGCCAGAATGTTTTGGTTTGTTTTTTTGTGGGTTTTTTAATGACTTACCTAGAAAACCAATTCCTGAAGAAATGGAGGTCCTTAAAAAATACAGTTATGTTTTGGACCCTTGCCTATGCCAGTTTTCAAGGCTACCAGTTTGTAATGGTGGCTGTTTAAGAAGGTGCTTGTTGCTGTCTTTGTGCAGTGCTGAAGGGGTGTTTGTTTCACTTTTTTTTTTTTTTAATTGTGGAAGACTTTCAGTGCTTTTCCTGTCCTTGATGTGAATTGAGTTTCACATAGCTCACCAAATGGTTGGTAGATGGTAACAGCTTTATTATTTCACTAGCTGAAGCTTGGGTGACTGAACAAGTACTCTACAAGTTAAAATCTCTTGTTCTCACTTAGTCTTGCTTAATTTGTAAACTTATTTTAAACTTAATTTTAAAAAGAACTGGTCCTGGGCCCTGTGAGGCTTTATTTGTCTCTAATCTCCAATTTAGCTGTAAAATTAACAAAATATGAAACTGTCCCCTAATAACTTATACTACTTTGATAAGTGTTAGGTGTAGTTGCTAAACTAATGGAGCTGTCTCTTTGGACTTGGGAAAACAAATGCACAAGTCCAAACCAGAAGGTTCCCTTTGTGGTTGTAATGGCTTAAAGGTCATTTTTGTTCCTCCCTCCTCATGAAGACGACTCATTAGATGTTCTTTAGAGGATTATTACCTATTTCTAAATAAGCCTCCATTAAAAGAATACAAATAGAAATAACAAAATAGCTCCAGGCTTGCTTCCCAGTATTTACTACACATCATTCTGGGGTACAGCCATAAATTTTTTTGTCTTTACGCTCAAGCACCTTGCCCCCCATCTCTTTATCTTGCAGCAAAAACTTGTTTTACGGGGAAAATAGTAGTGTGTATTACAAGAACATCTTCTCTAGGGGAAGTGTCAAAATGAGTAAGACAAATGTGTGCATTTGACACTAATAACAAACAAAATTAAAACAAAAAAGGTGGGGAAAAGTTATTTCTTTGTGCTAGTAATTGCGGTTACTTGGAACAGCAGTAGTTACAAATATTTTGAGAGTGACTAATCACAAAACACTGCTGCTATGGGGTAGCTTAACATTTTTGTGGACAAAAGTTATAAATATAACAAGATCATCAGCATAAACTAATTCATCTGAACTTCAAACATAGGTTCATGATGACTTAGAGCTCATGCTGCCTTTTACTATAATGCTATGATAAAGAAGCTGTCCAGCCTAGATTTCTTCTACATTGCTACATAGCAAGGTGCTCTGCTAACTTAATCTCAAAGCAACTCAAAGCCAAGAAGTAACTGGCTTGCTAGGAGGCTTAGTATGCTGGACTGGAAATATGCTTAAACTTTGGGAGCCTGAGGAATAAACAAAACTGATCTACTTCACTGTTACTCTTCCTCTTTGAGTTCTGTGCTTCAGAACCATCCTGGTCAGGGTCTGCACAACTGCTCGGGTGCTTCTCATGCAGATGACTTAATTCTCTTTGAAGGCATGTTGTTTTAGGGAATTTTTTTGTTTGGGTTTTTTTTTCCTTTTTCCGTAAGAAAACTCTGCTTAATGAATTTTTATTATAACTGTTCTTAGATAATTACATCTAGTGTTTGTTTGAATATATTTTAATCGAAGAATCCTTTTTTATTGATCATTTTAAAGATTTATACTGAAATAATTAAATTCTATCAAAAATTACTCTTTAATGGCCCAAAGTGCTTCCTTTAAATCAAGGATGATTGAAAAGTATGAGAAGAGTCACTGGAATGAACACCACTTATATCAAAATATGAGCATATGTGTAGTGAAGAGATGGAATATAGACACATGAATATATATGTGCTTATGTGTATGTCTAACATGTATTAACAGGGGGAAAATTCACTGTTTTTTTGTTTTGTTTCTTTTTTTTTAAGGGCTCACAGTTTGTCTCCAACGGATCATCTGGCAGCATTTTACTTGGCACTGCAGCTTGCCATATCCAGACAGGTTAGTTGTATTTTAAAAGCACAGTCTCACACTGTCATATGAAGACTAACATTTGTATCTGTTGATGGATACAGATAACAATTTCTTCAATAAAAACCTGGTTTCCCTAGTGCATATATGTGTAAAAATACCCCAAAATATGCTCTCTGGACACCTTCAGTCTTGTACACTTCTTCAGAGTTCTGGCACAGTATTTCTAGCTCTGTGATCACAAATAAGACTTATCTCATTCAATTTATTTGTTTCAGCATTTATATTGCTGGATGGAGAGTGGGGAGGTCATTTTTTTACCTTGTTTTTACCCTATTACATGTAATCTCTGCTCAGACTGGTTATATGGAGAGTGGGACTCTTGAATCTAGTATTTAATGATCCTGACAGCGCTTAAATCTTGAGAATCCATTAAGATCCATGCCCTTTCTGAATACTGTAGGAAGTTTGGTTATTGTGAACAAAATTACAAAAATGAACAAAATTTCCAGAAAACTGGAAAATATTTTAAAGCTATAAAAGTGATCAAAGCTCAGTCCAACTTGTACAGTTCTTATGTTTAGGGGATTTAGGATTCTACCATATATCACATGAATTTAGACAATTGGGAGCTGCTTTGTATATGTCATGGTAAGCCTTTTCCTGTGTCATGTTTATTTTAGGCAGTAGTTCTGAGCACAGTAATTTAGGTGACTACTTTTCATTGCTAATGATTAGCAAAGAAATTGGGCTATGTCTCATTAGAGTGGAATGGATTGTCACTTTAATAGCACAAAATATTTTCAGTAGAGGTTCTGTACTTCTGAATTCCAAACTTCTCATGTTGCTTAATTAAATTTCCTGTTTTAAACACTTAGTGTACTTATTTTGAGCAAAAGCACATGCCACTAAGGAAATCATAGAATTCTACATGAAGAAAAGTTGCAGTCTAGCTGTACATTTTAGTTAATATATTACAATCAAAATATTTTCAAAATCATATAAAAATAGAAATAATACTTGAAAAATAATAGTAAGTGAATATTTTAAAGGTCTGAAGGGAACTGTTTTGTTGAAATTTGTATCTTATTTTCCAGGGTTAATGTATTAGGTAATTTTTACTGTTCACTGTAGCACATCAGGTCCATTTTAAACTTCTGAGTAGTGTTTTACAGGAGACTGTAGAATGGTATGTAGGTGAATATTTTGAAAATTTTATGGACGTGCAATTGAGTAATAGGCAACACTTCTAATAGAGGTACTTTCTTTTTCTGCCTTTTTTTTTTTTTTTTTTAATCAGATACCAGAAGCTTTGGGTTATGTTCGTCAGGCTCTGCAGCTACAAGGAGATGATGCCAACTCTCTTCATCTCCTTGCACTCTTGCTATCAGCCCAGAAACACTATCATGATGCTTTGAATATCATTGATATGGCCTTGAGTGAATATCCAGAAAATTTTATGTGAGTGAATGTCACATTTGTTTTCTATGCTTTCTCTCATATTTACTTCTCATAGATTCTCATTTCATTCATTTCAAGAGGGGATAGATTTGAAGATTGGCCTGGGTTTTTTTCCAGCAGTCTTCCCCCCCTGCCAATTTAGTGCAAGTCTGCTTTTTTGTTAAAGGCTTGTTAAATAGTAATTAACAATTTGGTTTTGGAAGGAAGACTAGAGCTGGATAGTTGATCTTACTCTGTTTTTTTCTACATACTCTGTGTTTAGATAATTTCTCCCTCCATGCTTTAGAGTATTTTTCTGTCTTCTGTTTTTATGCAATATTCCAAGAAGGATAAGCAGGACTTTACTGTCAGATAGGATAGATTTATCCCATCCTATGGATAACTCTGTGCATATTGTATGGAACTTGTTCTGAAAATACGTCATAACAGAGGTTCTCTTTTGCCTGTATAATAACCAATCATCTGAAGTTGTGCTGATAGATAACTGAACAGGGAAGAAGCACATTTGGTTGATGTTCTCTTGTTTAAAAAAGAAATAATTCTTTATATTTATTCATCATGTTAAGTATATCTTAAAATATATTTGGATTTTATACTTTTGTATGGTTTGGGGGTTTTTTTAAATTTATTTTCTTATTAACATCTAATGAAATGCTTTACAACAAAATATCTCAGGGACACCTTCCATTAACTTCCAGTGTTCCATTCCGATGCTTTACCAACAGTCACTAAGGTTGTAATCCATAGTATTATAAACATTCTAAATGTATATTTAGACAATTTTTTTGAGTATCTAAAACTTAACTTTTCAATGACTGGCCTGTATCATAAATTGTTACTATATCAGCACACCAGAAGAATATTATTTCATAAAGAATTATTAGGTTGAAAATAGAGAGTACAGTATTTTTCCTTGCTTTTCATTGATACTTCATGCCTCCTTTTGGCTGTCTTTAAGGTAGTGTTGCCTCTTTCCTCATAAATCTGATCAGGACCTCTGTTGATATCGCTTCTCCTCAGAACTACTGTACTAGCTACCAGTTCTGTGCAACTGCTTTTGTGGCCTTTTGCTGTTTCTCACTTCATAGTTTACTCACACATGTATAACTTGTCTCTGTTCTTATTGGAGGCTTGCACACAGGCTTCATGATTTCAGAACTATCTAGCAGTTCCTCTCTCAAACCCATCTGCTTTCCTCAGGTGTGAGGAACCTGTCAGTAAGTCTTGGTTTGAGGCAATTGAAATATCAGTTACTTAATTTTACACTCTGTTACTGTTAAAAACAAGTATGTTCAAAGCACCATGATCTGTCATCTTCTGTCTGTTCTTGTTTCATCTTCTGCCACTTAGTGGCAATGTAAATGACAAAGAAGCTGCTGCTATATCTCTCAGAATAATAATAGTCTAGAGTATTTCTGAAAATGCAGTTCTCCCTATTGTAATAAGAAAACAAAAGATCATTCAGTAAAATGTTTAAAATTATTCTTGTGAGTGTTCAAAAGCTATTTATGAGTTTTTCAAATACGGTTCATGGCCTTTCCACACTTGTTTATAACTGCACCTTATGGTTAAACACATTGCCTGAGGTATTTTAAAAAGTACTAATCTTTCTATTAATGTATGTATGTGTATTAATCATAGGGGTCATAATAGTGGTTCTAAATTGTAAGTCCTGTTGTATAATTGGAACACCGTGATGATAGTGTACTGTGGTACACATCAGGGAATTTGAGAGGAATATCTTGGCAGTAGTAATCACCATCAGATGTGATATCAGTTGCTGAAGAATCTAAGGTGAAACACAGCTAGATATATCTCTAGACAGTTTTTGAGTCTTGTTTTTAGTACTGTCAAGTTACTTCTGGTTCCCAGAGAAGTCAAGGATATGACTGAAATTCCTTGTGTGCTGTCTGCAACTGATACTGACAGCCAGACAGACACATCTGGTCAATAATATGAATTTGGATTGATTCCTTCATGCAACTGGGTTATATTTTCAAGGATTTATCAGCAAAACTTCAAGTTTACAATCTGTTCTTGTGAACTAAATCTGGTGCTCTTGAAATGGTTGACAATGTGTATCTACATATATAAAAAAAATAAAACACAAGTGCTTAGTGTATCACTGATTCCATTTCCTTATTCTGCAACTTTGGTAAACAATACAATCTCATGGTACTTCTTATCAGACTGGGAAGAGATCCTCTTGTGTTCCTGCAAGGCTTGCTAATTTTTAGATATACTGAAACATTTGATTATTTGCCTATGGTACTTTATTAGCTTTTGTAAACACTTCAAATATCATAATGTTTTATGTTTTATCTTTCAGTTTTGTCTGGCATCCCAGTAAGCTAAATAGTGCAACAGTTTTCTTGGTATTTTCTGTATTTGTGTTAGAATCCATTACCTCAGTCTTATGCAAAATGATACTTTGGTGGCTTTGCAGCACAATAAATCTTTGTACTTGAAAAATATTAAAGTAAACCATAGGGATTGATTTATGTTATTTTTCGTTTCTTTTATTGTTATTCACCTATCTTTGTATGCTGTAATTGCATTGCTGCACTGAGTGCTGTCCTGCCCTGTTCACAGCTCTATGTTATTTTTGATTTTCTTTTCCTTGAAAAGAATCTAAAATTTCAGAAGTTTATAATACTACATCTTTGTAAAATGCCAGAGGTTGCAAGGAAGTCATGGAATACTCTGAGTCATGGCTGAGAAGTGATTATTTTCCAGCATTCTTCTGTTGTAATCAATCAGAATGTTCTCTGTTATTTTTTAACATTTGAAACTGATGCATTCCTAGAACTCATGTTCAGCATTTGAGGTGTACAGCAAGCGTACCTTCGTATTTTAAATTAATGTTAACCTTCCTGCACTATAAAGCTAGAAAGTTGCTGAACAAACATGGCCAATCAGATAATGATTTTGCCCCATGTACCTCTAGGTCAGTAAGTAGAAAGAAGTTCCTCAGAGACAAAAAATTCTGTCCCATCCTTATCTAAAGGAGTGGAAGGAATGACAAGCCTCACATCATGCTGTTAGCAGCAAAGTGTAGCTTTTTCTTTAAATAGAGTTGATTGTTCTTCCTTTGTTTGTTATATTGGCACCATGAATATGTAACCTGCATTGAGACCTTAAGAGGTGTTGGAAAAACTGTTGGGGAAAATCTAAGAAACCTCTAAAAGTTAAGTAAGTATCTAGTAATGCTTTCCAGAAATAATCAAAATGCAAGATATTTGCTGAATATCTATAGCGCTATCAGTTCAAACTTTTTGTAAACTGAAAATGCTAGGTTGTAACCCCTCTACTTATAAAAAAGTTAGCTGTGTTTTTCAGAGCAACACAATCAATCTACTTTTAAATGCTAGTTTAACCTCTGTCGCCTCCTGAAATCTGAGAGTGCTTTGATCCAGGGACAAAAAGATCTCTAGACAGAAGATTACTGAACAGATTCAGAGAACAGATTCAGATTACTGAAGAGATTATGAGTACCCTGCTTTGGTGAGATGCATAAGAATAGGGTGCCAGCAGCAAAAAATCTGAATATTTAGATCTCAGTCAGGTCCTACTGCATTTGAGTTCATGTAAAGTTAAGCTGTTTTTTTTTCCCCCACCTTTCATTAGACAACTTGTCCCTATAGTAGAAATGTGAAGGTCAGTTCTTCTGCAGCTTGACAGGATTTGGACCCACAGATGATGCAGCCTAGAGTCCTAACCATCAATCTATGTGGGAGGCTGGGTGACATGATCCATTTCTCCTCTTGAAACAAGCAGGGACATGCTGCCCTGAATGCAAAGAGAGTAGGCAGGAAGGAGCCACAATATATCCTAAATTTCTAGAGTACTTAACTGTGAGGGAGGCTTGAGGTTTTAGCTGCTTGGGTTTTCCTTGTATTTTATTTATTTTTATCCAGTGATTGCCTGCTTTGAATGTATAATCAGTCTCAGAGGTGTGCGTTACAGTCTGAAGGTGTATTCAAGGTAATGCAAGGTAATGGTAGTTGTGTTGCATTGGTTCATATTGGGCTTGTATATCTTCTGCAATATATGTAGTACAGTTACATGTGCAATTACCTGAGAGGCTTAACTTATAAACACCTTTCCATGACATTTTCCTGTCTTTTTATCTGGTTGTTATGAAGAATCTCTTTCTTCGTGGTCTTTTGAATGATACGAAATCTTGAAACAACACTTCTATCTGTTTCTACTTCATGGTTGGTCAAAAGTAGATTCTCAGTCAAGGGAGACAAGAGTTAGGTTTCTTAATGAAATACTTGTGGTACTGTTTCCTTAATCTTACTTGTTTGGGGTTCCCTCATTATTTCAAGTGTTGCAGCACTTAAAGACAAGTATAGTGCCTGAAATTAGTGTAATTAGGCAAAATAAATAATAAATATTAATTGCTAATTTTATGCTGGAAATAGAACTGCAATGGATAGCAGCTGACAAGTTTTTAAAGTAGCAGAAGTAGGGAACAGCAGATGGGTTATTTGAGGAGTGCAAGCATGTTATTTTAATGTTAAGAACACTCAAAAAGGAAAGACATATGGTAACAGGTTTGAAGACAACTGAAGACTAAGTTCACAGTTTAAACATTTACATTTGTTGAAGTGTGATGGAAATTTTTTTTCTTCCAAGAATATTTCACAGAAGCATCAGGCCAATATGTCACTTCTCTGAAAACTATTAAATTCTTTCCTTCCTGACCCTCAAGGGCTCTTTTGAGCTACAGTAGAATTCCAAGAATCGCAGAGTCTTTTAACATCCTTCTCAGTTCATTAACAAACTTGTTTCCTTCTGGGAGTTTTCCGGGTGGGAATAACAGAAGAGCGGGTTGGTACAGGCAGTGTATGATGACACACACTGATGTTTTGTGGGACAGTGGTGTATTTATCAATTGAAAGGAACAAACTACACTATTCTGGTTTTCGAAGGTCAGTTGTAGTTGCACTACAGTGTGTGGTGCTGGTTAAACTTGCACTTTTTTTTTTTCCTTG